TGGGGAAGATACCCCGTCTGCTGCTGCTGGGGAAGATACCCCGTCTGCTGCTGCTGGGGAAGATACCCCGTCTGCTGCTGCTGGGGAAGATACCCCGTCTGCTGCTGCTGGGGAAGATACCCCGTCTGCTGCTGCTGGGGAAGATACCCCGTCTGCTGCTGCTGGGGAAGATACCCCGTCTGCTGCTGCTGGGGAAGATACGCCGTCTGCTGCAGCTACTATCGTGGAAGACGACGACGATGACAGAAGCAAAGAGAAACTGGAGTTGGAATATAATGAGGCCGAGATTAGAAAAGCCGCAGAATCTTGTGACGAAGGAGTCCTGGCCGACGACCGGGCCGCGGGGACGCTGAGCCCCGGAAGCACCTCAAGGTAACCTCAAGGTAAGGTACTCTGGGACGCTGCAACTATCCTGGCAGGTGTTGTGTCCCAAACTCACATTAATAAAAACAAATAAAGCTGCTGGTCCTTGATTGAGCAAGTTGTGGGTAATGAACATAAAAATAAAAACTTCATATATTTAAAATAAGAAAACTAATTAAAAATTACTAATTTTATACAAAATTATAAGAAATAATGAATGACAAAAAAAAGCCTTGACCACTTGGCATTACACAAGCAAATAAACAATATGCACAAGTGAATTGACGTTAATAACAGAGGTGAATGTGACACTTTATACAACACGCTGTGACCGTCACCCGTCGCCCGTCACCCGTCGCCCGTCGCCCGTCACCCGTCGCCCGTCACCCGTCGCCCGTCACCCGTCGCCCGTCACCCGTCACCCGTCACCCGTCGCCCGTCACCCGTCGCCCGTCACCCGTCGCCCGTCACCCGTCACCCGTCACCCGTCACCCGTCACCCGTCACCCGTCACCCGTCGCCCGTCACCCGTCGCCCGTCACCCGTCACCCGTCACCCGTCGCCCGTCACCCGTCGCCCGTCACCCGTCGCCCGTCACCCGTCACCCGTCGCCCGTCACCCGTCACCCGTCACCCGTCGCCCGTCACCCGTCACCCGTCACCCGTCACCCGTCGCCCGTCACCCGTCACCCGTCACCCGTCACCCGTCACCCGTCGCCCGTCACCCGTCGCCCGTCACCCGTCACCCGTCACGCGTCGCCCGTCACCCGTCGCCCGTCACCCGTCACCCGTCACGCGTCACCCGTCGCCCGTCACCCGTCACCCGTCACCCGTCACCCGTCGCCCGTCACCCGTCACCCGTCACCCGTCACCCGTCGCCCGTCACCCGTCGCCCGTCACCCGTCACCCGTCACGCGTCACCCGTCGCCCGTCACCCGTCACCCGTCGTAACAACGTCAGAGTGTTCCGACGGGTGAACACCTGAGCTATGGCAGCACCAGAGAGTTTGTCTGCTCAACCCATTGATTGATTGATCAAGATTAAGGCACACAAGAGGTGGCACGGGCATGAATAGCCCGTAAGTGTTGCTCAACCCTCGTGGTTTTGTTGTTTTAGATTTAGCTACTCAACGAAATGTCCATGTAGCACGGGGTATGGTGACCCCGTAACGCTGCTCAGCCCTGATTGATTGATAAAGATTAAGCCACTCAAAAGGTGGCACGGGCATGAATAGCCCGTAAGTGGTGGCCTTTTTGAGCCATTACCAGTATCAACAGATGATACTGGAGATCTGTGGAGGTGCGACTGCACCCTGCGTGACGGGAGATGTCTCCCGTGAGACATCGGGAGCACCCCGTGCACCCTGCTCAGCCGATGATGATGATGAAGATTAAGCCACCCAAAAGGTGGCACGGGCATGAATAGCCCGTAAGTGGTGGCCTTTTTAAGCCATTACCAGTATCTAGAGCTGATACTGGAGATCTGTGGAGGTACGAATGCACCCTGCATGATGGGAGATGTCTCCCTTGTGAATGTGTTAAGATGAAGATGAAGCCACCCAATAGGTGGCACGGGCATGAATTGGTAAGTGGTGGCCCTTTTGAGCCATCACCAGTATCAATAGATGATACTGGAGATCTGTGGAGGTGCGACTGCACCCAGCGTGACGGGAGATGTCTCCCGTGTTTTAAACAGATGAAGAAGATGAAGATGAAGCCACCCAAAAGGTGGCACGGGCATGAATAGCTCGTAAGTGGTGGCCCTTTCGAGCCATCACCAGTATCAAGAGCTGATACTGGAGATCTGTGGAGGTGCAAGTGCACTCTGCGTGACGGGAGATGTCTCCCGTGAATGTGTCCAAGATGACGATTAAACCATCCAAAAGGTGGCACGGGCATGAATAGCCCGTAAGTGGTGGCCCTTTTGAGCCATTACCAGTATCAAGAGCTGATACTGGAGATCTGTGGAGGTGCAACTGCACCCTGCGTGACGGGAGATGTCTCCCGGACCAAGTGTGTGGTGTCAAAGATGCACCCTTTGCACGCAGGGTGCATTCGCACCTCCACAGATCTCCAGTATCAGCTCTTGATACTGGTAATGGCTCAAAAGGGCCACCACTTATGGGCTATTCATGCCCGTGCCACCTTTTGGGTGGCTTAATCTTCTCTCTCTCTGCTCAGTCCTCCTGCCTGAGCTTATATATACAGTGATGACGTCAGACAGGTGAGGTGACGAAGGCGCCGGCGGAGTAACGATCGTTAACAAGTGTAGATTGAGAATTGGCAAGTGGCAGGTGGGCGGCTGTCGTGGACGGTAGGCGGGTGTCGTGGCAGGTGGGCGGCTGTCGTGGCAGGTGGGCGGCTGTCGTGGCAGGTGGGCGGCTGTCGTGGACGGTGGGCGGGTGTCGTGGCAGGTGGGCGGCTGTCGTGGACGGTGGGCGGCTGTCGTGGACGGTGGGCGGCTGTCGTGGCAGGTGGGCGGCTGTCGTGGACGGTGGGCGGTGGAGGGGGGGGGGACAATACAATTACAGGGCCCCTATAATATAATATAGCCAACTGGTAATGAGGCAGCAAATCAATAAAACACGGTGAGTCTCTCACAATCACTCACGCGCCACATCTGTGATAGGAAGTATATTTGCAGTTGTTATATCGTATTCTTCCGGCAGATCTTCTGTGGTCATCAGGGAACCGAGCAACTTCAACCAGTTGCTTCCCGTGGGAAGAGACGCCATAGCCACGAGGCCTATACCTGGCAGACTGCTCACGTGTCCCGCTAATATCCAGACTGACGCCTTCTAATCATATAAGACCGTCAGTTATTAAACTAACCTCAGTAGACTAATTTACTAACACTTAGTATAATTTTTCCTATTAATCGATAAATTCTCGATTGATAGGCTACTATAATTAATTAACCCCCAAGTTGTGTTGCAATTTGACTTGTGGGAGAATTTCAATCCATACTGTCCGCTCAATGAAACATACAGTCTGTCGAAAGAAATAATAAATTAATTAATTATACATCTTAAATATAAATTCTTCAAATAATCCAATTAATTAATAATTAAGTTCAATAAAATCCCACGAGTCAAAATTCCCCACATAGCGAGTTCCTGGGAAGTCCCTGGCGAGTCCCTGGCCAGTCCCTATCCAGTCCCTGGCCAGTCCCTATCCAGTCCCTGGCCAGTCCCTATCCAGTCCCTGGGGAGTCCCTATCCAGTCTCTGGACAGTGCCTTTGGAGTCTGGCTGTAACGGTCCCGGGTCTCCTAACCCTATACTCCGGGTATTTAACCTACCGTTAATTATCTCTACTCAATATTGACCACAGCTCTACTGTAACTCCAAGTCCATTACCACGTAACCCCAAAACGAAAGGCGCTGTACTTATAGTTACGAGCAAACTCTGAGCGGACATCTACTGCTGCTGCCACCGTCCATTCCAGTAATCCTATGTAAGATAAGGAATGGAACTTGTCTGTACAACACGATATGAAACTTGTTCGTGTATCAACTGTAAGTACTCGTATATAATCAAGACTCTTTAGGTCAAGAACTTGAGCCCATTAGCTTTAGAGTACTCAACCCCAACCTGCAAACTATTATAGGGAACCAAGATCCAGGGATCAGAATTAAAGTCAATTTACAACAACAAATTAATCAATTATATATTTACTATTAGATCTTCACTCAAATGGGCATCACAATTCAACGATATCGTTAGATGTTAAATATCAACATGAATACACAAATGTATCTCACAGTTCCTGCGACGGCGCTGGAACCAATCGTATTGGCGTTTGCCTTTCCATTGGAGACTTTCGGCACCGTGGAGAGGGGGGACCTGCTGCATGGGTAACAGCTTCTCCCCTGTATCAACCTACCCTGTGTTTGCGCCCTGGAGAGGCCACTCCAGACCAAGAACCAGAACACCATAGTCTCCTGAGACTGATGGATGCCTACTACACAAGTGTGAGTCACCACACAGCAAATGGAAAGTACTCCGGCTGACTGTCCCTGAAAATCACACAACACTTAGGTTAGAAAACACAATATTCATCACCGACTGCTGAGCCTAAGTTTGAGAGAGAGAGAGAGAGAGAGAGGGAGAGAGAGAGAGAGAGAGAGAGAGAGAGTGAGACAGACGGAGAGAGAGAGAGAGAGAGAGAGAGAGAGAGAGAGAGAGAGAGAGAGAGAGAGAGAGAGAGAGAGAGAGAGAGAGAGAGAGAGAGGGAGGAGAGGGGGAGTTACAGAGTCCCCACCCGGCCTGGGGAAGCCAGGCCTGGCTGTGGGACTCCCAACTACTGCTGTTCTGCTCAACCCTCAATTCTGTCTCCATTCAAATATACAGTTCCAAGGGTATTTATGAGGGATCTGGGAACTAAGCTCTGCCTACTAACAAGATAGCCCCAGGCTCTCTACCTAGACAGCGGCTTGTCAGGTGGACACACACAGCCAACAATCTGCAATTATCAGCTTAGCAGAAGGCAGGGCCACCTGACACGACCTGACCCCTGGTCAACTTGTGGTCATCACCTTCTAAATGTGTGATTCCTTAATTGCTAAAGCCAGCCAGCTTGGCGCCTTCAAATATCATGTGTGACTGATTTGTTGTATGAAATATTAAACTTAAACACATTTATATAGTGTTACATGGTGAGTCCCTGGCGAGTCCCTGGGGAGTCCCTGGCGAGTCCCTGGGGAGTCTCTGGGGAGTCTCTGGCGAGTCCCTGGCGAGTCCCTGGCGAGTCCCTGGGGAGTCCCTGGGGAGTCCCTGGCGAGTCCCTGGCGAGTCCCTGGCGAGTCCCTGGGGAGTCCCTGGCGAGTCCCTGGCGAGTCCCTGGGGAGTCTCTGGGGAGTCCCTGGCGAGTCCCTGGGGAGTCTCTGGGGAGTCTATGGGGAGTCTGGCGAGTCTCTGGGGAGTCTCTGGGGAGTCTGGCGAGTCCCTGGGGGAGTCCCTGGGGAGTCCCTGGGGAGTCTCTGGGGAGTCCCTGGGGAGTCCCTGGCGAGTCCCTGGGGAGTCCCTGGGGAGTCCCTGGGGAGTCTCTGGGGAGTCCCTGGGGAGTCCCTGGGGAGTCTGGCGAGTCCCTGGCGAGTCCCTGGGGAGTCTCTGGGGAGTCCCTGGCGAGTCCCTGGGGAGTCTCTGGGGAGTCTGGCGAGTCCCTGGGGAGTCTGGCGAGTCTAATCAGAGCGTCTACGATGGTCACCACTTTAGACGCTCTGCCTCGTATATAAACGCAAGCTCCTAGAATCTTGTTGAGAACATTGTATACACCATCCTGAGAAAGGATGTATTGTATACACCATCCTGAGAAAGGATGTATTGTATACACCATCCTGAGAAAGGCAGTATTGTATACACCATCCTGAGAAAGGATGTATTGTATGCACCATCCTGAGAAAGGATGTATTGTATGCACCATCCTGAGAAAGGATGTATTGTATACACCATCCTGAGAAAGGATGTATTGTATACACCATCCTGAGAAAGGATGTATTGTATACACCATCCTGAGAAAGGCTGTATTGTATACACCATCCTGAGAAAATATGTATTGTATACACCATCCTGAGAAAATATGTATTGTATACACCATCCTGAGAAAGGATGTATTGTATACACCATCCTGAGAAAATATGTATTGTATACACCATCCTGAGAAAGGATGTATTGTATACACCATCCTGAGAAAGGATGTATTGTATACACCATCCTGAGAAAGGCTGTATTGTATACACCATCCTGAGAGAGGATGTATTGTATACACCATCCTGAGAAAGGATGTATTGTATGCACCATCCTGAGAAAGGATGTATTGTATACACCATCCTGAGAAAGGATGTATTGTATACACCATCCTGAGAAAGGCTGTATTGTATACACCATCCTGAGAGAGGATGTATTGTATACACCATCCTGAGAGAGGATGTATTGTATACACCATCCTGAGAGAGGATGTATTGTATACACCATCCTGAGAGAGGATGTATTGTATACACCATCCTGAGAGAGGATGTATTGTATACACCATCCTGAGAGAGGATGTATTGTATACACCATCCTGAGAGAGGATGTATTGTATACACCATCCTGAGAAAGGCTGTATTGTGTACACCATCCTGAGAGAGGATGTATTGTATACACCATCCTGAGAAAGGCTGTATTGTATACACCATCCTGAGAAAGGCTGTATTGTATACACTGTGACGGTAACGCGTTGGTGTTCGGCTGTTTAAGGCTAGGGGTATGGCCTCGTCACATAGTTATAAAAAAAAATAGAAAACTGGAACTTCGTCTGTGGTAAGGTAAGGAGAAGACACACAAAACACAAGTAAATTTTAACAATGAAATTTTAATTACGTTAAATAAATCAAAACATGAAAAAATGGACAAACAAATTCTTATAATAAAATCAATCAATCAAAATAATAAGAATAATTAAATGACACAATGAAAAGTTACGTTAAGATAAAATAACAAGAAGTGCAACACAAAATAAAGGGAAGGTGCTGGAATATTGGCTTTAAGCTACCACCTCTCTCAGTACACGCTAACGTCTAGCCGGGAGGAGTGGTAACCACGAAAGCACTGAACATTCTGAGGTCTGAGGTCGTGGCGACCCCAGACATCAAGTAGTATGGGGGGGGGCGAGTGCAGGTGCAGCCAGACCGGCGACCAATCAGCGGAGCCGGTAGCGATCAACAGGTAGTTTGGCGGTTTGAGTCTGAACAGGTGTCTGGCTGCATACGTTTTGCGCTCTGGCAAACCTTGCTGGTGTTGTTGTCGTTGTTGGACATTTCTTCCATAGTAGTTTTATATAATTCCAACGACGTAATTGTGGAGGGAAGAGCAGGCTCAATCTCTTGAAGGAGATTATCGTCACAACACCATCCTGAGAAAGGCTGTATTGTATACACCATCCTGAGAAAGGCTGTATTGTATACACCATCCTGAGAAAGGCTGTAGGTTACTTCCGAATTATTTTATTTTCAATACACTAACACATATACTGGGTGTTACCTTCACTTTCCTTCATGCACCACCACATTATAGTGTGTTTCTTTACTGAGGATTTTGCCACATAAATATGGTCCTCAATGAACCGGATAGAATATAAGCATTAGTGTAATATACACACACACACACACATGTAATTGTAAAAAAGAGTTGAACCTATATTACAGCCTAGCAAGCATATATATATTTTATTGTGCAGTACTCGAGACAACCCGAGTTGTGTTGACTACATAGTATTACCATATCTATAGTAATAATTTAACTATAATCATTTCACCTTTGTTAATCTGTGTCTCTGTGCCAACTAAGAGTGATTTTGAGGAGCTAACTTGAGGTAAATCCTGCATAGATACTTGGTTACCACTCAAATTATAGTGTGTATGATTATATAGTGGGTATTTTTGAATGATAATCACCTCTAGTTCGGAATCTAGTAGCTCTAGTGCTAGAAACAGTCCAAATCCAAGTCCAACAAGGCTTGGCACTAGTACATCTGCAGCACGGCTAGCAAATACAGCTATCATATCTACTGCAAAAATTGTAAAGGCGACTCTCGCAGGTATGAAGGGCCATTTAACACGACAGATCAGTGAATGCGACGATTTATGTAAACACACTCCAGTTGATTATGTTGAACTGGAGGGCCATCACAAGGTTGCCGAGAGCAAGTCTGAGCATGGAAAAGGCCAAATACCGAAATATCAGGATGTGATAGCTGATACTAACAAAGATGAAGAAGCAATGGAAGCTGTAGTACAAGAAAATGCAGATTATGAAGATGCCATACAAACAAAGTTACAACACTTTGTCAATTTAATAACCATACACAAGGCCACTACAAATATTGCAGCCACAGCTTCCCAAAACCCGACACAACCAGAAGTCAAATTACCATCACCCAGTCTCCCAACTTTCTCTGGTACAGAGGACGAAAGTTGGGACAACTTCTGGAACAAATTTGTCGATTAAGTGGATTCTAATGCTACTATAGCCAAGACCACAAAATTTATATATTTGCAGAGTGTCTTAAAGGATGAAGCGTTAAAAGTGGTCGGTAATTTAACATTAACAGATGATGGTTATGATAGCGCAGTACAGCTCCTTAAGGAAAATTATGCTAAGTCAGAATTGACTATCAGACTTCTAACCCCAAAAACTGTTAGATATTTTCCTCCAGATGGATCAGCTGACTCACTCCAAGCCTTTAGAGTGGAGCTTGAGTCCTTGCTCAAGGCGCTTAACAATAAAGTGAATCTGGATGAATCGGACTGGATAATCCACGTCCATATGAGATGCAAATTACCCAGTGATGTACTGGATAAGTTGTTTGTCTTACATAACAAATCTTCTCTGACAGTAAAGCCAGAGATACGATTCCAGAGTATGTCCATATCCTGGACCTCCTCCACTCCCTAAGGCATGAGTTGTACATATTCGTCCTTTGAGACTACAGGAGTAGATTTCACAGGAGCACTAACACTAACAGACACCAAGGACAAAAAAACAGTAAAGGCATATATCTGCTTTTTGCAGGCGATGAGTCACAATAACGTGGCTGAAATATGTTGACCAGACCACACACTAGAAGTTGAAGGGACGACGACGTTTCGGTCCGTCCTGGACCGTTCTCTACCTCTCAATCGACTTGAGAATGGTCTAGGACGGACCGAAACGTCGTCGTTCCTTCAACTTCTAGTGTGTGGTCTGGTCAACATCTGCTTTTTCACCTGTGTCACAACAAGGGCAGTACATTTAGAAGTGACTCCCAATATGAGTGCCGAGGCATTCTTACAGGCTTTCCGCAGGTTTGCTTCACATAGATCAAACACTGTGGCGTGTTAATGATCTTAAGTTAATGATCTCAGACAATGGGTCCAACTTAGTGGCAGTAGAAGTATGTCTGAGGAAAATCTTTAACCACCCAAAGGTGCACACGGCCCTAAATCAACGGCAGTGCCACTGGAAATTCATACCTCCCAGAGCATCATGGCATGGAGGCTTCTATGAAGGCATGATTGGAACGGTGAAACATTCTCTACAGAAAACCCTACACCGTCAAAAGATTGACCTAAAGAGCTCCAAACCGTTGCCATAGAGATAGAAGCACGAGTTAACAACCACCACTTACCTACCTCTCTGAGGATGTTTTGCAGCGTCAACCATTAAGTCCAGCTCATCTGATGTATGAGAGACCTCTCAGAACTCTCGTGTCCCTTACGGACCAGGAACCAGAGCATCCTTCAAATGTCCGAGAGAGTGATTTGGTTCAACGTTTCATACATCTATGAGGGGTGATAAGTCGGTGGAATGACGTATGGACTCGAGAATGCCTTACTGCTCTGAGGGAGTATCATTACGGGGCAGACAACCCCTACAACAGAATTAACTTGAACCTTGGTGACATAGTTCTGGTGGACAGCGATGGGCCACACTCAGAGTGGCCTATAGGCCAAATTGTCTCTGTTCATCCAGACAGTCAGGGGCATCTTGAGAAGAGTGAAAGTAAAATGCCGAGGCAACACCACTCTCAAAACATTAAAGAAATTAGTTCCTTTAGTACTGGCAGGAAAAGAAGACGTTCAACGACTTCCAGCACCCGAAGGGCCAGTAAGGGACGTCCGTCCCGAGCGGACTGCTGCACAACAATGCAAACTCAAATTAAAGAACCTCTTTAATTCTGAGGGCGAGGAATAAAGTGATTGCAGTCCTTACTGGGACTTCGACCCATGTTCCCCCCCCCCCCCTCCCGGAATTATGTCGGACATCCGACACAAGTAAAATGATTCAGTTACCTATTAAAGAAATCAGAGAACGGGTATTCCGTTATGTCATCCAACAACATGTAATATATTAAACTCTTATTTCTTTTAAACCTCAGTCTAGTATTTAGACTTAATAAACAAGTGTTCACTGGGACTGAATATAATTACCAACACCAGGAATATAGCTTAACTCCCTATTCCTTAATCATAAATACAACCACCAAATATTTTAGGACGTCTCCCCTGGGGAGGCGTCGGCACATACACAACTCAATCATAACAAATGCCTCGCTGTAGAGGTGGCTCCTTACTAGCCGGTAAAACTCGTTAAAACGCCCAGATTACATGTCAACAAGCGAGTAGCAACCACAACAGCCTCTCAACAACCACAACAGCCTCTCAACAACCACAACAGCCTCTCAACAACCACAACAATGTTTAAGTATCCGACTGCGTTATATTCTGGTATTATTTGGTGCACCGTATAACATGGATTAAGTAGCCGGTTATTAGCATGAGAAAACCACAAACACAGTGAGTAGCATTTTACTCAGCTCTTTACTACATACACAAATATTCATGTCACATATACTTTATATGTTAATGTGCTTTACTAATGTTAACATCCCAAACAGGTAATTATGAGGAAGTTACTGAAGCAGACAGTTGGCCCCCAATATAACTGTGATTCGACTCTGTTGTACACAAAGACGCCAGCTGCCCAGGATGTCATTTATGCACTCTGAGGCACAGGGGCACACCCTAACCAGTAGTGACATCCTAATTAGGCCATTACAACCACTCAGCTAAGGCCTATATGTTCTTTGTTCCAAGGCCTATATATACTGTAGATAGAGTAGCTTATAATTAGTTATAAGAATTCTAGATTAGACCACCACATGTGGTATGATATATAATTTATATAGTAACAATAAGGTAAACATTTGTTTACAGTTATCCACTCACAGTGATGTAAGCATTTGTCCCTCCCATTGTGGTGATAAGTTTTAGCAGGTTGAATTATAATATACACTCCACTAAATAACTTACACCAATAATTCAATATTGAAGTTTAACTAAAAAATAATCAAATAATAATATAATATTCAAGTAACAACAAATAAAATAAAGTAAATATTTGAATATTCATAAAAAGAAAAAGAATAAAGCCTGCTAGGATTTTCCCAGACGTCAACTGTGCCTCAACATGTTCTTATGGTAGACCATGAGTACTTGAAGTGGGTCCTCTGGCGACTGGTGCTTCATACAACAGCTTCAATGCTGCTCAAGTATTAGGTGGATGCAGCATGAAGAGTGTAGTGTATGGTACCCCGAGGTAGGGGGGTGCGTGACTGTCACTCCCGTTGTCATCAACAGAACCCGTTGCGTCGCTTCCACTACTACTATAGTCAACAGGACCCACACTAAACTAAATAAACTACCACTCCTGTCACCTTCCACTTATCTGCAACATTCAGCATCCTGTTTCTTACATATTTTCTCTAGTTTCAATAATTTTATAAATTTTGTTCTGTATTTCGCAGCAACAAAGCTCTCGTCCTTTTTGACTTCTGGTCAACACTTGATATTTGGTAGCGTTAAAGAGCTCCTCGGCGGGCTTACAGTTCTGAAGACGCTCACATATGTTGTTTGCGATGAGCGACAGTACAGGAACATCGCTGTGGGAGATGATGGGGCAGTGTTGGCAAGGCTGCGAGGGGGGACGCCAGGCAACCTCGGTCGAGGACAAGCCAAAGTCCAGGATGATGGGTCGGGGCCCATCAGTCCCATCCCCATCGACAACAAAAATATTTTCGTGATGGAGGTCGTTGTGGGACCAACCCAGTGCATGGATTTGTTTCACAATGTCAAATGACTGATGGAACATGTTTAGAACAAGATCCATTTGACCAGCCACCATCTTCCGATACAAAGTTTGACCTTCGTAGAAGGTCGTCACTACCAAGTTGGGGTTAATGGAATAGCCATAAAGATAAGGAACTCCCACAATTCCTTACATTGCTGACAAGCCTTTAACTTCTTTAACAAAAGCTCTTTCCTTGCCTTTGTAAAGTTGCTTAATGGCAACCAAAACTTGGTCATTTCCCTGTTGGTAGAGGCCCTTGAAGACCCTGCCTTACTGGCCACGTCCTATCTCATGTTCGAAAGTTAGAGCAATGGGATCAATAACCTTTATCCTAGGATCCTCTATTAATGGACGTGTTTTCCTTCCACTTTTCTGAACGTGTAACGCTGTGGTCATGTCGGGGGCCTGGCCCCGGCGTGTGGTAGTGTCGAAGGCCTGGCCCCCGCGTGTGGTCGTGTCGAAGGCCTGGCCCCCGCGTGTGGTCGTGTCGAAGGCCTGGCCCCCGCGTGCGGTCGTGTCGGTGGCCTGGCCCCGGCGTGTGGTCGTGTCGAAGGCCTGGCCCCCGCGTGTGGTCGTGTCGGTGGCCTGGCCCCGGCGTGTGGTCGTGTCGAAGGCCTGGCCCTCGCGTGTGGTCGTGTCGAAGGCCTGGCCCCGGCGTGCGGTCGTGTCCGTGGCCTGACCCCGGCGTGTGGTCGTGTCGAAGGCCTGGCGCCAGCGTGTGGTCGTGTCGAAGGCCTGGCCCCGGCGTGTGGTCGTGTCGGTGGCTTGACCCCAGCGTGTGGTCATGTCGAAGGCCTGACCCCGGCGTGTGGTCGTGTCGAAGGCTTGACCCCAGCGTGTGGTCGTGTCGGTGGCTTGACCCCAGCGTGTGGTCGTGTCGAAGGCCTGACCCCGGCGTGTGGTCGTGTCGAAGGCTTGACCCCGGCGTGTGGTCGTGTCGAAGGCCTGACCCCGGCGTGTGGTCGTGTCGGTGGCTTGACCCCAGCGTGTGGTCGTGTCGAAGGCCTGACCCCGGCGTGTGGTCGTGTCGAAGGCTTGACCCCGGCGTGTGGTCGTGTCGAAGGCCTGACCCCGGCGTGTGGTCGTGTCGGTGGCTTGACCCCAGCGTGTGGTCATGTCGGTGGCCTGACCCCGGCGTGTGGTCGTGTCGGTGGCTTGACCCCAGCGTGTGGTCGTGTCGGTGGCCTGACCCCGGCGTGTGGTCGTGTCGGTGGCCTGACCCCGGCGTGTGGTCGTGTCGGTGGCTTGACCCCAGCGTGTGGTCGTGTCGGTGGCTTGACCCCGGCGTGTGGTCGTGTCGGTGGCTTGACCCCAGCGTGTGGTCGTGTCCGTGGCCTGACCCCGGCGTGTAGTCGTGTCGGTGGCCTGACCCCGGCGTGTGGTCGTGTCGAAGGCCTGGCCCCGGCGTGTGGTCGTGTCGAAGGCCTGGCGCCAGCGTGTGGTCGTGTCTGTGGCCTGGCGCCAGCGTGTGGTCGTGTCTGTGGCCTGGCGCCAGCGTTTGGTCGGGTCGGGGTCTGGCGCCAGCGTGTGGTCGTGTCGGGGGCCTGACCCCCGCGTGTGGTCGTGTCCGTGGCCTGGCGCCCGCGTGTGGTCGTGTCGGTGGCCTGGCGCCAGCGTGTGGTCGTGTCGGGGGCCTGACCCCCGCGTGTGGTCGTGTCGGTGGCCTGGCGCCAGCGTGTGGTCGTGTCGGTGGCCTGGCGCCAGCGTGTGGTCGTGTCGGTGGCCTGGCGCCAGCGTGTGGTCGTGTCGGTGGCCTGGCGCCAGCGTGTGGTCGTGTCGGTGGCCTGGCGCCAGCGTGTGGTCGTGTCGGTGGCCTGGCGCCAGCGTGTGGTCGTGTCGGTGGCCTGGCGCCAGCGTGTGGTCGTGTCCGTGGCCTGGCGCCCGCGTGTGGTCGTGTCGGGGGCCTGGCGCCCGCGTGTGGTCGTGTCGGGGGCCTGGCCTCGGCGTGTGGTGCGTGACCAGAGCACGCCTGCTCCCACGTGCCCGGCGGCCTGGCTTTACTTTTCTTCGGCTGTATTTGTGGGATTGTGAGGAGCAGGCGGGATACTTGACTCCTGGCACGGGTCTCTGGTGGTGAAGGAGAGCTCTTCCTCGTGATCAACTTCCCTACGTGTTCTGTTGCTGTATGGGAGAGATGTGTTCCCCGCTCCACGGACTTAAGGTTGGGGTCTTTACTCCATATCTTAAGAATCTGTTCACAATGTGTTCTATATTTATTACAAATCACTTCATTCTTTCTTATATATATATCACACATACACGAAAACTAATAAGGCAGGATTATCATTTTGTCATTATCTCAGGGAGGGGGCCAACACGTATGTTCACCATGCATTGTGATAGAACATCTACCATGCATGGGGCGTTATCATCTTCACTTGTTGGATGTTCTATCACCATGCATGGTCGATGTTCTATCATGTATGGTGGATGTTCTATATCCATGCATGGTGATAGAACATTTCACTAGGTGAAGATGATAAAGGGAAGTGACTGTGGTGAAGGATAGGGAAGGTGGTGAAGGGTAGGGAAGGTGGTGAAGGGTAGGGAAGGTGATGAAGGGTAGGGAAGGTGGTGAAGGGTAGGGAAGGTGGTGAAGGGTAGGGAAGGTGGTGAAGGGTAGGGAAGGTGGTGAAGGGTAGGGAAGGTGATGAAGGGTAGGGAAGGTGGTGAAGGGTAGGGAAGGTGGTGAAGGGTAGGGAAGGTGGTGAAGGGTAGGGAAGGTGGTGAAGGGTAGGGAAGGTGGTGAAGGGTAGTGTTATGATCCCAGGTAGCTGAAAAACGAGTCTACCTTGAGAGTTATTCTGCAAGACCTGACCTAAATAAGAGGTCAAAGATATATAGACATGGAGGCGTAGATTTGATAAATAGTTTAAGAGTATGGGCAGTGATCAAGAATATAAGTAAATGACTTGACATGAGATATGGAGAGTTTGCTGGAGGTATGAGGCTCGCTTGAGAGGAGCTTGAGCTCACTTGAGCACTAGAAATCGTGAGGGGAAGCTGCGCTCCGTGTGAGCTCCTGTTACAGAGGAACTCCTAGTTGATACACCTTCAAGAGGAAGGAAGTGTGCAGACGTTTCAGCTGTGGAATCAAGCTGGGAACGTTGTGGTCTCAAGTCCTGGACGACAAGAAAAGTGAAGCCGCCCAGAGACATTTTCGAGGGGCGTGGGAGCACCCTGATCAGGCTCCATCGAGAGGGAGAGCGCCCTGCAGGAGACCTTATTGTGGATTGTCCTGAGGAAGAAGTTGATGAGAGTACTCCGAGCCCAGAGAAGTTAATGAGTGGAACTTCAAGGCCGTAGGGGTGGATATTGAACCCTTTGGAAGAGCAGAGCCCCATAGTAAGGAGGTGAATCTCAAACTGGTGGGTAGAGGAGCAGTGACGGTAGGGAAGGTGGTGAAGGGTAGGGAAAGTGGTGAAGGGTAGGGAAGGTGGTGAAGGGTAGGGAAGGTGGTGAAGGGTAGGGAAGGTGGTGAAGGGTAGGGAAGGTGGTGAAGGGTAGGGAAGGTGGTGTAGGGCAGGGAAGGTGGTGAAGGGTAGGGAAGGTGGTGAAGGGTAGGGAAGGTGGTGAAGGGTAGGGAAGGTGGTGTATGAGTGGAACTTCAAGGCCGTAGGGGTGGATATTGAACCCTTTGGAAGAGCAGAGCCCCATAGTAAGGAGGTGAATCTCAAACTGGTGGGTAGAGGAGCAGTGACGGTAAGATTCACGTGCTTCTGTGATACCAGTGGTGAAGCACCATTGCTGTTAAGGAAGACTTCATGGTGTAGCAGCCGGAAGAGCTGTGTAGGACCCTGGTAGACAATTCTAAGATTACCGGAAGATATTCAGGGTGAAGAGCCTCTGTTTGTAGAGAAGAGGTTCTTAGTAATTACTTACGGAGAGTCGGTAGAGCGTGTGAGTGTCATTGGCGAGCAAGACGCAGTGGAAGGCGGGTGACTGACTATTTTTGTATCAAGGAACATTTATATTAATGTTTATAGTGTTACAGCCATAGGCTAGATTTCCTTGTGTACATTCGTGCATTATATACATGATCTAGGACTGATAGGGTGATTGGTTATCATTTACTTATGCTGAAGTTTATAAAGTTAAAACTGTGGGCTGAATAACTTGCAGATATATATATATATATATATATATATATATATATATATATATAATGTTCTAGGGCTGATAGTGCTGTATTATATGACAAGATTTATCCCACCTATTGAGGTTGACAGCGTAAGTAGCGAGTCAGGAGTTGGACTACCACTTGAGATAAGCAGCTGATGAATCCCGATGGGATTGGATGCAACCTGGTTGCAATAGCATAGTGTTGGAGTTGTTATTGTATCTTGTGTATGTTTGTATATATTCTCTGTATATTAAATGTTTATAACTAGGTGTTCGCCCTTGTCCTAGTGAGGCTTTCCAGAAAGTAGAAAAGAGAGAGAGAGAGAGAGAGAGAGAGAGAGAGAGAGAGAGAGAGAGAGAGAGAGAGAGAGAGAGAGAGAGAGAGAGAGAGAGAGAGAGAGAGAGAGAGTAATATTTCAGAAAAGGGGGTTGAGGTGATCATACCAAATAAGGAGAGTGGGGGGAGTCATGGCGGCTCGAGTGGGTGTGTGCACGTGACAACGAGGTCAGCATTGGAGCCACAACCCCTTAAACGTGTGACGTTGAACCCCTCTCTAAGCGCCCAGGGTGATCTCCTGGTCAAAATAAGCACTCTCTGGGTTTTGGGTTGGGTTGTCCGTAAGGAAGAACGACCATCATCAACAACATTTTAATAATTGGGGCCCTGTGTCCGGGAGAGTGAACTGACACACCCACACCTGTCTGAGAGCGGATTGGTACACCTCTTGAGGAAATAAGTAGACTGTGTGACCGCAGGTGTATATTCTCTCTCTTGGGAAGACTCACAGGACAAGATGGATAAGGTGCAAGCGTTTGTGGAGTTAGGTAAGCCTGAGGACTTGGAAGGTTGCACTAGGGAATAGTTGAAACAAATAACAGAAAGATGTGGCATCAGGTTGAAGGCATCTAAAGTAGCTGGGATGAAGGATGAGATCTTGAGGCAGTTAAGAGCCAAGAGTGAAGCAGTAGAACAAGGAGCCCAGAAAGGAGCTGAAAATGGAAAGGAGGATGATGGGCAGGATGAAGTGAGATCCCAGGGATCGAGTAGGAGCAGCAGGAGTAGCCGGAATAGGAGCTTGGAAAGATTTCAGCTAGAACTCCAGATGCAGCGTGAGGACAAGGAGAGACAGTTCCTCCTGGAGAAGTTAAGGTTGGAACTGCAGATGAAAAATGAAGTAGAGGTTGAGAAGGAAAATGAGAAAACCAGAATAAGAGAACTGGAGTTGAAACAGGAGAAAGAAAAAGAGAAAGCCAGACTAGAGTTGGAGAAAGAAAAAGAGAGAACAAAGCAAATGCAGATAGAAGCAAATAGAACCTTGGCTGAGCAAAGGATTAAACATGGGTTGCCAGAGAGCACCACCCATGTAGTACACCCACCAGATAATAGGGTTAGGGAGAAGGACATTCCCCTATTTGTACCCGAAGAGACAGAGAGCTTCTTTGAACACTTTGAAAAAGTAGCCAGCATCAAAGAGTGGCCACAGGAGGAATGGGCTCAACTGGTACAGCTAAGATTAAAAGAATAAACAGCAAGGACGAAACCCTCTACCCTCAGCTAGACGACCTATGGGAGATGTTTAGGCATAGAGGTTACCCTGAGGAAACGCTGAACCACGCCCAAGAGAAACTACGCGGGGAAGACCAGAGAACAACTTCTGAGGCCCCCGGCCCCGCGGTTGGAGGATAGGAGATGGATCCTCCCTACCCTCTTCTTTCCTGGTTTTGCTGGGAAACCAAAACAGCAGCTCTCAGACGTATGGGGCTGGATGAGGGAGACATAGAGTGACCGCCCCTCTTGGGAGAACTTCCCGCAAAATCCACCAATGATTGTGTGGAGGTATGGTGTATGGGGCCCAGTACTGTGGTGGTGTATGGTGGTAGTGTATGGGGCCCAGTACTGTGGTGGTGTATGGTGGTAGTGTATGGGGCCCAGTACTGTGGTGGTGTATGGTGGTAGTGTATGGGGCCCAGTACTGTGGTGGTGTATGGTGGTAGTGTGTGGGGCCAGTACTGTGGTGGTGTATGGTGGTAGTGTGTGGGGCCCAGTACTGTGGTGGTGTATGGTGGTAGTGTGTGGGGCCCAGTACTGTGGTGGTGTATGGTGGTAGTGTGTGGGGCCCAGTACTGTGGTGGTGTATGGTGGTAGTGTATGGGGCCCAGTACTGTGGTGGTGTATGGTGGTAGTGTGTGGGGCCAGTACTGTGGTGGTGTATGGTGGTAGTGTGTGGGGCCCAGTACTGTGGTGGTGTATGGTGGTAGTGTGTGGGGCCCAGTACTGTGGTGGTGTATGGTGGTAGTGTGTGGGGCCCAGTACTGTGGTGGTGTATGGTGGTAGTGTATGGGGCCCAGTACTGTGGTGGTGTATGGTGGTAGTGTGTGGGGCCAGTACTGTGGTGATGTTGTGGTAGTGTGTGGGGCCCAGTACTGTGGTGGTGTATGGTGGTAGTGTGCGGGGCCAGTACTGTGGTGATGTTGTGGTAGTGTGTGGGGCCCAGTACTGTGGTGGTGTATGGTGGTAGTGTATGGGGCCAGTACTGTGGTGGTGTATGGTGGTAGTGTATGGGGCCAGTACTGTGGTGGTGTATGGTGGTAGTGTGTGGGGCCCAGTACTGTGGTGGTGTATGGTGGTAGTGTGTGGGGCCCAGTACTGTGGTGGTGTTGTGGTAGTGTGTGGGGCCCAGTACTGTGGTGGTGTATGGTGGTAGTGTATGGGGCCCAGTACTGTGGTGGTGTATGGTGGTAGTGTGTGGGGCCCAGTACTGTGGTGGTGTATGGTGGTAGTGTGTGGGGCCCAGTACTGTGGTGGTGTATGGTGGTAGTGTATGGGGCCCAGTACTGTGGTGGTGTATGGTGGTAGTGTATGGGGCCCAGTACTGTGGTGGTGTATGGTGGTAGTGTGTGGGGCCCAGTACTGTGGTGGTGTATGGTGGTAGTGTATGGGGCCAGTACTGTGGTGATGTATGTGGGTAGTGTATGGGGCCCAGTACTGTGGTGGTGTATGGTGGTAGTGTGCGGGGCCCAGTACTGTGGTGATGTTGTGGTAGTGTGTGGGGCCCAGTACTGTGGTGGTGTATGGTGGTAGTGTATGGGGCCCAGTACTGTGGTGATGTTGTGGTAGTGTATGGGGCCCAGTACTGTGGTGTATGGTGGTGTGGTGGGGCCAGTACTGTGGTGATGGTGGTGGTGTGGGGCCCAGTACTGGTGGTATGGTGGTAGTGTGTGTGGGGCCCAGTACTGTGGGTGGTGTGGTGGTAGTGTATGGGGCAGTGTGGTAGTGTGTGGGGCCCAGTACTGTGGTATGGTGGTAGTGTATGGGGCCAGTACTGTGGTGGTGTATGGTGGTAGTGTATGTATGGGGCCCAGTACTGTGGTGGTGTATGGTGGTAGTGTATGGGGCCCAGTACTGTGGTGGTGTATGGTGGTAGTGTGTGGGGCCCAGTACTGTGGTGGTGTATGGTGGTAGTGTATGGGGCCAGTACTGTGGTGGTGTATGGTGGTAGTGTATGGGGCCCAGTACTGTGGTGGTGTATGGTGGTAGTGTGTGGGGCCCAGTACTGTGGTGGTGTATGGTGGTAGTGTGTGGGGCCCAGTACTGTGGTGGTGTATGGTGGTAGTGTGTGGGGCCCAGTACTGTGGTGGTGTATGGTGGTAGTGTGGGGGCCCAGTACTGTGGTGTATGTGTATGGTGGTAGTGTAGTGGGGCCCAGTACTGTGGTGGTGTATGGTGGTAGTGTATGGGGCCAGTACTGTGGTGGTGTATGGTGGTAGTGTATGGGGCCCAGTACTGTGGTGGTGTATGGTGGTAGTGTATGGGGCCCAGTACTGTGGTGGTGTATGGTGGTAGTGTGTGGGGCCCAGTACTGTGGTGGTGTATGGTGGTAGTGTATGGGGCCAGTACTGTGGTGATGTTGTGGTAGTGTATGGGGCCCAGTACTGTGGTGGTGTATGGTGGTAGTGTGCGGGGCCAGTACTGTGGTGATGTTGTGGTAGTGTGTGGGGCCCAGTACTGTGGTGGTGTATGGTGGTAGTGTATGGGGCCCAGTACTGTGGTGGTGTTGTGGTAGTGTATGGGGCCTAGTACTGTGGTGGTGTATGGTGGTAGTGTGTGGGGCCCAGTACTGTGGTGGTGTATGGTGGTAGTGTATGGGGCCAGTACTGTGGTGATGTTGTGGTAGTGTATGGGGCCCAGTACTGTGGTGGTGTATGGTGGTAGTGTGCGGGGCCAGTACTGTGGTGATGTTGTGGTAGTGTGTGGGGCCCAGTACTGTGGTGGTGTATGGTGGTAGTGTGTGGGGCCCAGTACTGTGGTGGTGTTGTGGTAGTGTATGGGGCCAGTACTGTGGTAGTGGTAGTGGGGGGCCCAGTACTGTGGTGGTGTGGTAGTGTATGGGGCCCAGTGGTAGTGTAGTGTGTGGGGCCCAGTACTGTGGTGGTGTATGGTGGTAGTGTGTGGGGCCCAGTACTGTGGTGGTGTATGGTGGTAGTGTGTGGGGCCCAGTACTGTGGTGGTGTATGGTGGTAGTGTGTGGGGCCCAGTACTGTGGTGGTGTATGGTGGTAGTGTAGTGGGGGCCCAGTACTGTGGTGGTGTTGGTGGTAGTGTGTGGGGCCCAGTACTGTGGGTGGGTGTATGGTGGTAGTGTGTGGGGCCCAGTACTGTGGTGGTGTTGTGGTAGTGTGTGGGGCCCAGTACTGTGGTGGTGTATGGTGGTAGTGTAGTACTGGGGCCCAGTACTGTGGTGGTGTATGGTGGTAGTGTGCGGGGCCCCAGTACTGTGGTGGTGTATGGT